ACGTGTGTACTGTTTTGATAGCAAGAAGGGAGGAACATCAACGTAAGTAATTCAATTACTTAATCCTTGATTTTGGAGTAGAAATCATGCTTAGAGTATTATTTTAATTCCTAGTATAATGTTAGGATGTTAATTTTGATTTCTAGTATCATGTTAGGATGTTGATATTGATTTCTAGTATCATGTTTAGGGTGTTAATTAATATTTCTATCATCATGCTTTCTAGTATCAGGTTAGGTTAATGCTTTGATTTTTATAAGTGACATGCTAGGATTTGTTATTAATCCGTTTAGTATCATGCCTAGGATCTTGTTAATAATGTTTTAATCATGTTTTATTGAGTTTATGATTATATTGATTATGATGTTTTGTTTTGATAATGATTGTTGTGCCAATTATTACATTGCTTGGTAATTCATGATTTATTGTCATTGCTTGATCACGCCCTTTCTTGCAGATTTAAAGGGAATTTGTACTTGAAATCACGCCTAAAAGATAATTAATAACTTGTTTTTGGCTTAATATGATTTTAATTCAAGTGATTGCCAATAATAGATTTGATTGTGTATTAATAATGAACCAACGTAGATTAAAAAGGTTTAGGATTAAGTTGATGTATGTATGTTGATCGGAAAGCGCACATGAATATCATAAGAATTAAGTAGAGGCCGATGTAGGGCGGGTTCAATTGCTTTTAGGTTGGATTCGTACCATCATCCCCAAATATCCAGTCATGGTTCTGGACTACTATGGAGTTAGCGATCTCCGTGATCATGAATGGGGGGTGACCTTCACACCAGTGAACGATTTATAAGTTCCTAAAACGTGTCGGTGACTCTTTTATCTCCAGCTTCTTTCCCTTTGGACGCCAGCATGCTTAAATGCATGATCACATTGGGGCTCAAAGTTGATGTTTGAAAATTCCCTACAGTTTTTAGGCGACTCCGCTGGGGATGATTTCTATTTTGATTCCTAAAATTTATTTTGGCAGTCGACTTAGAATGAGTGGATGAGACTTGAAATTAAGATTCTAGATATTCGTGTGCGTAATTTTGATTAACATTGTGGCATAAGCATAATAAGGTCCGCATTGGAAAGACCATCCGAAATGGGTAAAAAACATAGGATTTTTACACATAGGAAAGGCCGGAAATATCTTTCACAACTAAAATAAAAAAGATACTGCGAAAATCGAAAATTCCGTAGAACATAGGAAACTGCCGCGAGACGACAAGATCCATCGCCATGCGACAGCTCCTGTTTTCTTAAGCTGGGTTCTCGCGACATCGAGCCAAGAGTCTGCCTTCTTGTTTTGACCGTTTCTAGTACTGTATCGACGATTCTACTTCTTGATTTAGTTTTTCCTTCTTTTTCAACCCATATGTGTTCTACATATGGCCTTAGCTCATGGGAATTCACGCTCCATCCACCCTAACGAACGCTCCGTGCAACGATGGGTACATCCGAGATTGTGAATTCACCAAACCATGGAAGCAAGTCTAACTTTCAGTCCATCATGTTCTTAGAAGTATCCTTTTCAATTTCAGAGGAGCCAATTTTCTATCAAACTAAGCTCCGCAATGACCATTAACAAGTTACAAGGGCAGACCTTAGATCAGGTATTAGTTTATACTCTTCGTTTGTGTTTTTCAAATGGTCATTTATATGTGGCTCTTTCGCGTGCACGAACGACCAATAAAGTGAAAGTCATATCAGTTGCTCCTACTTTACAGCATTCAATTCAGAGAACTCTTTTAAAAATGTGGTATATTATGCCGTCTTAAAGCTAGCAGGCGTAATCTAGGTGACTATACATTAACTAAGATTAGTGAACTCATTTTTCATTATGCAGAACTTTGCTTAACAATAAATATCAGGCAAACAGTACAAAGGTGCTTAAATAGCTTATCTTTTTTACATTGCAAGAAGAAGCTTTTCCAAAGAAGGGGTCCTTTACAAGAAATTTTAATATTTGGGTAGCAAAATTTTGTACATATATGGGACAACAACTTACTAACAAGCCAGGCTTTTTAAAGTTATGTGCTTACAGACAACAACTTGTAAAGTTTTTTATATGTATTGAAATGCAATATTTTGAAGTTTGTTTTCACATTTTGATCAGAAGGAGAATATATATATATATATATGTATGTATAAGATTGCAGTAATACCATAGACAAATGCTATAAAATTTAGGGTAGCTTAGATTATGATAATATATAATAGCCCTTCCCCTAAAAATAGGAAACTTGTATAACATTATTTTACATAATTGTGGCCCTTATAAATTGAGATTTATAGCATAAAAAAAATCTTATTATTTTATTGTTTATCAAGAGGCTTAGCTTTTCCAATCTTTCAAAATTGATTTACAAGTACAAGATACATCAGTTCAGAATTCCTTTTCAAAGGTATGGAGCGCACTGTTCAAATAGTAACAAAGTATTAAAAAATTGTCATTTGCTATTCTGAAAATTGTTACCAACAATATTCAAAGGTGTTCTATTTGCCATTCTTGTGTTCTATGCTTTTTATTTCAACTAATATAAAAGCATTTGCTACTTGCCATTCGTTTTTTCACACAAAGAAGCAATCTTAGCAATAACTTAACTAGCTATGGAAAGTATGGTTCTTTTTTTTACAATATTTCTTATATTATCCTTTGATATTCTTGTTCTTAATTTTTTCCCTAGAAATTCCTTGTGATTTGCATGTTTAGTTTAGTCAAATATTAAGTGGTGCATAAAATTATACATTCTCTTATAAAGCTACTACTGAACTGAATATTATGCAAACATTTATATACACAGATCAGAAATACAGAACAGCTAGACAAAAGCCAGAGTATCTGTATTTCAATTAATTAAATGCGACAAGCAAGGCTTATATAGTGAGAGTAATAGTTGCTGAAAAAGGAAGGGACATATTATCTTCTAAAAAATCTGTTAGGTTTCAGACTTTACTTCTAAAGGATGAAAAGGTATATATTTATTGCTTTATATGTGGTTATGGATAACTATCAGCGCATAGGCGCTATGGATGAAGGAAGCAAATAGGATGGCAACTTATGTAAATATGTTGAAGTTGGGTGGGGACAAGGTGCCAACTGGAGGAAAAAATAACGGGGCAAAGAAAGTGAAAACGAGGAAACCAAAATCTAAGCGAGAAACCAAAATGAAGTCTGACAAAGCAACTTTCCTCTTTCTTCCGAAAGCAAAGTGTTACTGTTCAATGGCGAATTGAGCGAAATTAAATTAAAGGCATTGAAATCCTGTCCCAAGTGCACTAAAACCACTTAAATGTCGTTCATTTGACATTAGAAATTGAGGATGAGAACGAGGTTAGCTGTCATTCTTGGCGTGGATGTAGCTGAAGCAGTTGGTGACGGTGGAGAAGACGAACATGGCTGCGCTCGGGAGCTGCGATTTGATTGTGAAAATGTAAGTTTCGTACATGCATTATTGTAATTATTCAATTTGAAGGTAGATTTGTAATTAATTTTGGAAATGAAAAAGTGTGATGTAGTTGTTTATAGATGGTTAGCAGTTAATTTGTGAATCCGAACTACATTTTGACAATGCGAAATCGGTTAGCTGCTGATTTATTGGGAGTTGATTTAGCGGAAGCATTGCGTGAAGGTGGTGAAGAAGGCCATGGTTGCGCAAGGGAGTTGCGGTTTGATAGTGAGAATGTAAGTGTTCGAAACCCCTATGTAGGTCGTTCTGTTGTGTATGAGGTATTTGTTTCAGTTAACAGTTAGTAAGGCATGAATTGAGGGAGTAAACAAAATTGAATTAGCTGAAAAGGTAGGGTTTTTTTGGTGTCCCTCAATTATTGGTATTGTTTCAATTTATAGTTGTTGTTGATAGTGATTGTCTTAGTGCTTAAATAAGTTGGCATATTGTTTAAATGTAAGTCATTTTTTGAGCAATTGTTGTTGGTATTGTTAGATTGTTGATTGTAGCCTGATCAATTGGTGAGTGTGGTTAATCTGTGTTGTGTATGTTGGATTTTGGAGTAGGTTGAAATTAATATTGAGGGTTGTCTTTAAATTCTGAAATTGATACTTGGAAAATGGTTGTTCATTGGTATGGTGGTTTCTGTAGCCATGAAAATGATGTTATGTATAATGTAGATATTGTACTTTGTTACTTGTGGTGGTGTTGTGTATATGATTGTTTTATGGCTATGTCATTGTTATAGGGGGGTGATGGTGGTGAGGATGATGTATGTGGTAATGAGGAGGGATTTTAGAGTGAGCATGGGTATGGAGAAAGAGATGAGGAGGAGAATGAACAGGGATCAGAAGATGATGGAGAGGAATGGGGGTCAGATTATGAGGAAGTTCAAGTGGAGGAAGTAGTTGAAGATGAAGGAGTTGAAAATTGAGGGTTATAAATGAGTATTTGAATTGGGTAATTATAAAACGTAGACTCTTTTAATTAGATGATGAAGATGTTAGGGTTAGGAACCTTTGTTATGGTTAGGACCCTTTGTTGTAAATTTGATATGAACTTCAATCCACGTAATTAAGTAAGTAAATGGCTAATTGGTAATGTTAAATTGCCATAATCTTTGATATGAAAGTAGATTGTTCATTATTTGATAAAATGGGTGTTGTAGTTGAGTTGATTAAATTTGTTTAATGTATTATAATTGTTTGGGAATGTGTTGGTTTAAGAATGGTAATGGAGTGAAGGATGAGTTGCTGCTAATTATATGAGTTATTGTCGAACCTGTTTGTGTTAAAAATTGTACAAACAAAAAAAAAGAGCTTTGAACTTGTTATTTATCGAACTTTTAAAGAAGGTAAAAAAAAGTTTTGTTATGAATTATGTGATCATATAGTTTGCTGGGTTTGGTGTTGTCGTGTGGAGTTATATGCCAGTGTTAATGAGGAAGGGAACTAGGTTGTTTGAAGGCTGAATTTGGAGCATAAAGGTCACATTGTTACTTCGGGAAAGTCAAAGGATGTAGTGATGTACCGGAAGCACGAGTTAATGGTGAAAAACAATCACTTGGTCAAGCAGGTGCATACGGCGAAGAAGTCTAAGGTGAAGGTATCCCAAATGTACAACTGTTATGCTCGGGAGCGTAATGGAGTAGAGGAGATGACATTTACGCAAAGAGACTTGGAGAATGCAGTGGCTCAGAAAACAAGACTTGAGCTTACTAAGGGTGATGTGAATGGCATGGTAGAGTACTTCAACAAAATGAGTGCCAACAATCAGAATTTTTTCCATCTATGTCAGTTTGGGGAGGACGGGGCATTACAAGATGTTGTGTGGGTAGACGCGAGGAGTAGAGCTGCGTATGAGGAGTTTGGAGATGTGTGTTTTGACAGTACGTATTTGACAAACAAATTTCACCTTCCCTTTGATGTGTTTATCGGTGTGAACCATCACGGACATAGTATTTTGTTTGGGTGTGCATTGATCTCTCGGGAGACGGCGGAGACCTATGAGTAGGTGTTGAGGACTTGGCTACATTTCATGGGGGTAAAGCTCCTATCTCAATCCTAAAGGATCAAGATCCGGCGATTAGGAAAGCTGTAAACTTGACTATACCTGAGAGTTGCCATAGGTGGTGCATATGGCACATACTTCAGAAGTTTGGGAGGTATGTGGGTAAGCATGCAGACTATGAAGCTGTAAAGGATGAGTTTGAAAATATCATTTATGGTAGTTTAGATGCTGATGAATTTTTAGATCGTTAGGTGGACGCAGTTGATTATTACAAACTAGGAGATAATAGTTGGCTTGAAGGTACTGCACTTCCAATTCTTCCCTTTTTTTTTTTGTTTTTTTGTTTGTGATTGTTGCTGATTTCTGTTAGAATATGCAGAGGTGTAGCTATCTGTGTGCAGGGGACTGGAAGCTGTTTCAGTTTTGATTTAGGGTAGGAGGAGGTTTAGTGGTAGACTTTTGTACCATAGAATTTTTTTGTTGCAAGTTTCTTAGTTGTGGCACAATTCTGAGATAGTGAATGTACCATTCACAGGAGTCCAGGTGTATGAGGTTTGTATGTTTTAAGATGAGCCATTAATTGCAATTATTTGAAATGTAGGGCTGTATGAGGAAAGGCACATGTGGATCCCAGCCTATTTGAAGCATTTATTCTGGGCCGGTATGAGAACGACCCAACGTTCTGAAAGTTTCAATCACTTCTTCAAAGGTTTTGTTGACAAGCATACAACGTTGTCTGAATTTGTGCTTCGATACTGCGATGCCATGCAGATAAGGGCCGAGTCAGAAAGAATTACGGACTCCAACACACTACGGTACATCAGGCATGTAGCTACCGATTTCCCAGCGGAAGAAGTGTTCCAGAAGTGTTACACGGACGCCAAATTCAAAGAAGTTCAGCAGGAGTGCAAGAGGATGTTGTACGTGCGTCGCCTAGATGACTATGAAGTTGGTGAGAATCAAGTTGAGTTTGTTATTGAGGACCGAGTGTGGATCAAGCCAAAATATGCAAAAAAAGAATCTGTGACTAAGACTCAGAGATGCTACAAGGTGTGCTATGATAGTAATACATATGAAGCTAGTTGTGACTGTAAACACTTTGAGTACCATGGAATCATTTGTCGACATATGATCTTTGTGTATGACCATTGCGGTGTTTCTTTTGTTCCTGAGAAGTATATTCTACGTCGTTGGAGGAAGGATATTCAAAGGAAACACACACGAGTGAAAGTAGCTTACCATGATCCACTTAAAACCGATGAAGCCAGGCAATATCACAAATTGATGGGGATGTATGAACCAATTTGCTCAAAGGCTTCAGCTTATAAGGAGGGTGTTGAGGCTGTGGCAGAGTTGTTGTAATTGATGGACCTTAGAGTCGATGAAGTGTTGGCAATGGTTGCCAAAAAACAGGAACAAGCAGCTAAGGATAATGAAAATGAAGGTTAGGATGATGGTGTACATTGTGTTGTTCGGACGCCTTCTTCTGTGGCTTTGAACAAGGGGCCTGGTTGTACAAATACACCAGCTACACATGCATCTGGGCTGCCAAATATGATCCCTACACCAGTTATTGCCGTTGTGGGGAGTTGTGATGGATCCGTACCAGCAGTGATTAGGGATCCACCGTTGCCCAAGAAGAAGGCCCATCGTATAACCAATGTAAGGTATCCATCTTGCACAGAGAAAAAGGGAAAAGAAAAGGCTGCTAGGGCAAAAAACGCAGCAAAGAAGCAAGCTGCGGCGGCACATAACAGTATGTCATTGTCAACGAATGACTATGTACGATCGGTTGGAGGGATTCAAATGAGGGATGTGTATGGTTCCTTAGGGTACTTCACTTCTGTTAGGGGAACAAATTCTGGTGGTTTTTTTCCAAGTGTACTAGGTACTCCTGGTACATCAGGTTCCAATCACTTGTAATGTAATCGATTGAACTGGTTGATTAATGCATTGGAATGTATTTGTTGTTTAAACATGTTTCAGTGGTACACTTATTGTGCATGAATTGTACCATTGGGAAGTTATATTCATGCGTTGAAAATAGAGGTGGTTACATGAATAGTTTCCTGTGAATGTGTACCTTATAATTCGCAAATTGTTCTTGTAATTAGGGTGGTACATTCTTAGCATATGTAGGATTTGAAGATCAGAGTAGACGTTGTCAGAGTTGAAATCCATATTGATCTATTCTTTTATTGGTGTTGTTGTAAAACTATTGTTGTTGTTCTGTTTATATGGCCTGAATTTTTGCTTTTGATACAACGTAAACTAATATAGGTTTGTTTGATTATGGAGTAGCTGAGAACAATACAACTAATATTGTGAACTACTTTGTTTGTGTGTGTTGTTTTGAACTGTAAAACATATTATTACATACAACTAAAACACGAATTTAACAAATTATAATCTTCAAATTAAAAAAAAGAAATGTCATTATACAAATAATATCTATCATACATGACGGATGAGTAGACCCTTTACTATTGTATAAAACACGTTTATTTCCCTAACACATTTACAAGTTAAACAAGATATTGTATTTTCAGCATTCTCGTCATAAAGACCAGCCCATGCAGATAAGTTCTTCTCGTGTTGTAGTTTTTGTTTGCAAAATAAATGCGGTTGTGGCATATAATCTACAACGAAATTATTTCTCATCCAATTTGACTTCTCCATGTCACGTAACTTCCTTCTGCACTGGACGATCCCTGCAGATCCGATGCTGTTGATAGTGTTCTCCAAAAGCTTAACACCTTTTTCTTCTTCCCCGGTGTATATATATATGAGGCTTACTATATATGTTGCCTCTGTATTTTGCAATGCAGTTGCTCTTTCCAACCTCTTCAACCCTTGGTCAACCACCATATAGTTGAAGTATTGTCGCTACAGTAACGTAAAATAGAAAAAATTTAACAGTTATTAACAGGTTTTTTGTAATATTATAATGAATAAAATTGTCAAGTAATAAGAAAGAAGCCTTACAAATCCAAACTCAAACAGAGCTTCAGGATGTTCATTCTCCACGCACTTCATGAAGAATGCGTCTGCCTCTTCTCGGTGTGACCACCTTCGTGTTTGAATCCAAGGGAGGTGAATTTGTTGAAGGACCCTTTTTTCTTCGGTTATTTTTCGCAGGATCTTGCAACTTTTTTCATGTCATACGCCAGAAATTACATTGTTAAAATCTTTGTGTATAGGGGGATGGGAAATAGAGTATAAATTATAAGTAAAATGAAATCCTACCTTATTTTGCACCAAAATAAATCTGTAGGAAATGACTTAGCAACACAACACAGAATGGTCGCTAACACTTCCGACAGAAGGATGTTAACCATGGAAGTTGAAATTTTTCGCCTTTTCGCTACTACATCCATGTTTTTTTTTTGCGTTTTTCTGGAGTCTGACCTCTGTTTTTTGGAGTAAAAGGAAGTCAGGTATTGTTAAATCTTTGTTTTTCTTTGAAAATGTTTGAGATGAGTAACTTAGTCATTGAAATGCCTTATATGTAGACTGTAAAATGACGGTTGACATTCTGCAAGGGAGTGGATGTAGTGGGTTAGAGATGTAATGATGGTGGTTAATCAATGTTAAGCGCAAATGATGATTTACTGGGGGAGTTAAATAAATCCGGCACACATAATCTGGGGAACTGCAATTTCCCAGACCCTTCACTTCAATTCGTCATTTCAACGCATGCATAAAATAATTAATGGTACATGTCTTACGCAATAAGTGTACCACTGAAATATGTTTGTGCTTATTACAATCCAACTTTGTGTGATTTTACGTTTGTACTTGTAAGTAGAGTATACGTTATACTAATTACAATTTTAGGTATGGGATAATAAAAATTGAAAAACGTTGGAATTTTAAGAAGAAGAATAAAAACGGAAAAAAATTTTCTTTGTTGCACCACATTAGCATTGTTCGTTACATGTTGTTACAATTTTACGAAGAAGAATAAAAACGGAAAAAAATTTGTAGCACCACATTAGCATTTGTCGTTACATGTTGGAATTTCCCGTGGCATGACTAAAATGGTGTGGTGCGACAGAAAGATAGGATTTACAGGATATATAGAAGCAAAATATGCAAAAAAGAACAGAGAAATTGTCGCGACACCACGAGATTGTCACGCACGCTGGCAACTGCCATACCACGATAATATTTTTGTGCATTTTAAAGTCAGTTTTATCATATGTGAAGGAAATCGATCTTTGATAGCTTCTTTTAGACGCGTTTTTTCCATTCCGAATTATTCCACAAAGCACGGATTAGGGTTAAAGTTAGGTTTGTGTGGGTTGTAGCCATATGGCCTTTTGCTTATTATGTAAATATAATGTGAAATATTATATGGTTAAGTACTTCAAGTGTGTTATCTCTTTACTTATTAGAATCACTATAAAAAAGAGCAAATAAATAGTCTACCTTATCATTCTTTCTGAGTAGTGTAAAAAGAATAATTACTCTACAGAATCATCAAATGCTATATCCATAAACCATCATAAAAGATTGTAAATGAATGCTGAATTTCCATACATGAACAATAAAATATATCCATTAATCAAACCACCTAATATGTAACCCTCTAATTTCACATATGACTGCATCATCATTTAACCTATACCAAGCATAAATATAAGCAATATAAACAATAAAATGCAACACAAAACTAATGCTTTTAAAACAAGGTCAACGATAACTTAAATATATATCATAAGTGTAGTCATTTAGAAACTACGACCTATTGTTCATACGTACCAATGACATAAACTACGGATTAAACTACATCATCACAACTAGTTCATAAGTTTCTGTAATCAAATATAAAAGACCAAAAAAAAAATCTTTAAACAACCGTTGATTCATGTCAGCACTTTAAAAGATCAGCAAAGGAAAGGAAATGACAAAAGACCCAAAATGCATCACATTAATCAATATCACCTATTACAGCCTTTAGTCATGGAATTTTCCTTCTGTACATATCAGAGTCCTCGCTTGTTCCTTCATCTTCATACTGGTTCCCAAAATCAGAATCAGAACCACTATCATTGTCATCATCATCAAAATAGTTTCCAAAATCTGAACCATTGTCTGATTCAAATGATGCATCCAATTTTGGAACAGCTTCTTCCTCAGTCTCGGTTTCTGAATCAGAATTTACGCCACTTTCAACCTCTTCCTCACTCTCGCTTTCTTCTTCGGTCCCACCTTCTTCCTCAATGATGACTTTATCTCCATCACTGTTTGTTTCAAACACAGTTACTTTCTGTTCACGCTCATCAGCATCCACCTCTCGCTTTCTTTTGTTGCTCGGTTCTCCTTCTTCCATTTTGCGCTCCATCTTAGAGGTACCTTGTTGCATTAAGGCCAAATGATTGTTCATCTTTTGTGTAACATCGGCAAAATATAACAAGAAACTTGAAATATTCTCTTCTTGTAATTTGCTTGCATTCGGCTTCCAAGCAGGTGGTTCGAAGACTTTCCCAAAGGTCGCAGTACTATCACCACTGGCCATTTAAACGGAAAAAATAAAAGCAGAAGAACAGAAAAGGAAATGAAAGAAAGAAGAGTTCCTAGTACACAGTTTGACCAATCAAAACCAAGTCCAGTAATTATTATACATTCTAGAAAGAATAAAATAGTTATGTCTTCCAAAAAGAATAAAACTATACGTATTCATTGTAATGTTTTGATCCGTTTTGCTATAGTGCAAACATTTTAAAAATCTAAAAATAGAAAGCAACTTTTGCAATGTTTCCTATTATGCTTATGCATGATATCTGTACATACGTGTGCTGGGACCATTTCTGATTTTCGTCAATCGTTTTTTTTTTAATTATACGCCATATTAAACTGAATTATCTTTAAATTTTAAATTTCAAACTATATATTTCATTGTGTCTCATACATTAGTATCCCTTTAAATAAAAACCAAAAAAAAAAAAAACAACGTGATACTATCTTTTAATACCAAAAATTGCATTTTATTATTATCATTATTATTTTTAAAAAAAAAAAAAGACGCTTAAATGTCATATTCATTTTTAATAAAAATTCAAATAAGACAACAATAGTAATAATTAGTGTACCACTATAATTAGGGTGGGACAAATGAACTCATATAAAGAACCACTAAAAAGGAAAAGAAATTACACAAGCTAAATCTGGGGAACTGCAATTTCCGTCACACGTCATTTCAATATGTCATTTAAACGCATGCAGATGATAAGTCACGAACAATAAGAGTACCACTAGAATAAGAGTGATTTTATTATGGTCGTTGTAAGTCAAGTATACTTTCAACTAATTACAATTTTTGGTATGGGATAATAATAATTGAATAATGTGCTAATTCCGACAACTTAAATTCAGTATAATACATTAACTTAGTTTCAAGTTCCAGATCCAATACATCTACTCGAGGGTACCACTAAGACACTTAGGGTACCACTGTAGTCAGGGTGGTACAAATGACCTTATAGATAGAACCACTGAAAAAGAAAATGCAAGTTTGTCCGTCATGGTGGTACAACACCGTCATAGGAGGGCACTGTTTAATCAGAATTTTGGTATCACTAATATCATTCTAATTAGGCTTCAATAATATCTTTGGTCACAAATAACTAATTACTAGAGTAGACCTCATTAACCAATTCATAATCTGTCAATGAATTTGGTAATTACAACCCTTGGGAGATTTATGTTGAAAGTAGGATGCTGTAGAACATTATTGAATGACATGCTGTTGCTTCACCAGTATTTTGTTAAAAAGATGTACATGTATGAATACTGCAGTTTACCTCAGTCGAAAGACGTACACGTATGAATTCATGAAGTTGTAATCACAACCCCCATATGTACCTTAAGATCGTAATCACGACCTGTTGGATATTTACCTCATCAACTAATTTAGTTACTTTGTAATACAATATGTACCTTAAGTTACTAAGACATTTGGGGTACCACTGTAGTCAGGGTGGTACAAATGACCTTATAGAAACAACCACTGAAAAGGAAAATGCATGTTTGTCTGTCACAGTGGTACAACACCGTCACTGTTTAATTGTATCACTAATATCAAATGAGGGATCCGGATGGTTCCTTAGGGTACTACACTTTCCTTAGGGGAACTAATTCTAGGGGTTTTTTTGGAAAGTGTATTAGGTACTCCTGGTACATCAGGTTCCAATCACTTGTAATTTTATTAATTCCACTGGTTTGTTACTGGTTTGATATTTGTTTGTTGTATATGTTGTTATAACATTTTGTAGTGGTATAGTTATCGTTAATGAACTGTACCATTGGTCATTTATATCTATGTGTTGTAAGTACATGTATTTACATGAATAGGTTCCTATAATGGTATACCATACATTTTCAACATACATAAGACAATTTGGGTACCACTTTAAGCATGGTGGTACATATGACCGTATAAAACGAATCACTGAAAAGGCAAAGGCATATATCGTGTTTAGGGTGGTACTTCGTAATGTTAGAACTAGTAGCGTAGTTCACTATTAATTTATTTTTTTGTTCTGTTTATGTGTACTAAATATTTGCATTTGCTACTACGTAAACAACGTAAAATAATATTGGTAAGTTAAGTGACCAAGTAGTTCAAAACTATACAAAGTTGTATAAAATACGGGAATACTGTATTTAGCTTATTGATATACGTAAGTTTATTTACATTGTCAACATCTCCTTCACCTATTATTATTATGAACATCTCTCCGATAAATACTAGTTGTTCTGATTTGTAAAACAATTATTATGTACAAGTTAAACACAAATGTAACAAATCATATACTGCAGGTTAAAAAAAGAAATGTCATTAAACCAAATAGTTATCCCATATATCTTACATCCTGGCTAGACCATGTAATATGGTGTAAAATATGCTTATCTCCCTAACATATTTACAAGTTAAACAAGCTATTTTATTTTCGACAGTTATGTTGTAAACACCATCCCAGGTAGATAAGTGCTTTTCGTGTTGTATTTTTAGTTTGCAAAACAGTCGCGGC